TTCTAATTGGGGCATATTACTTTTTATTCAACATATTTTGAAATTTTAATGCAAATGTTCAGAAGTGTTGTAAATTAATATCTATAGAATGATCGAATTTTAACTTTTATCAAATAAGATATCATGATGTTAAACAAATTATTAAATAGTTTCAGCTGCTAATTATTAACTAAGTTAAGAAATTAAATTCCACAACATCAGATTTGAAAGCATATTAGCTGAAAAATTCAAATGAACTGGGCTTATTAACATGAAATAATATAAGCATTATTATTAAACATTATTATTATTAAGTAACATTAATCGGGATCATTAATCGGGATTATTAGGGATTAATCGGGATAATTAGGATTAATCCCGATTAATCCCTAATTAGGGATTAATAGGATTAATCGGGATTATTAAGTAACATTAATATTTGTAATCGGGAAAATCTATTTCTAATAGTTTGTTTGAAAGTGACTATTAGTTTTTTCGTTGGTTCAAAAAAATAACAGTGTGCAATAAATTTTTCATAATCAATTGCTATTTTATGACGTAAATTAATAATTGTAGAAAAGTTTTAAACCATGAAAAACTACGTCACGATAAGTTATTTAACCTTACAAAGTATACATTTTAAATTAAAAAACGTTAAATAACTATTGATAAATATTTTATTGAAAGAAAAGCTTATTGTTTTAATTAAATTATGATAAAACGTAATTAGATTTTTCTTAAAAGATTTATTATTTTTATTAGAACTTAATTTTTAATTCTGATTAATTTTTTACACATAAAGTGTGAAAGATTTTACCAATGACCCCAAGTGCAATCTCCGAATAAATAGTATTCAAAAATTCGCTCTCATATTTCTGTTTACGAATATTTCTCTTCTTCAAGTAGTAAATTTAAGCAACTTAATAGCTTCTAATCAATAATTATTTTTAATAAACTTAGTTATTGAATAATTAGGTTATTTAAAAACATTTGGTTAACCATCATCAATAAAATAAAGTTGTGTTCCAGAGCTTTTTAAGTTTCGAACAAATGATTGTAGCTTCAAGCATTAGATTGTCGTTTTCACGGTTTGAGTAGAGAGATTTATGTTTCACTAACTTAATAAATATTAAATATTATACAATATTTATAACTATTATTTGATAATTATGTTATAGCTTGTAGTAAAGAAATTTAACTGAAAAAGATAGCTTGTTGTTCTTAAGTATAAAATATAAAACTAATTGGTTGAACAGTTACCGAGTAATAATAATGTAATTTGAACAAAAGTGTAATTGTAAAAAATTAAAAAAAAAGTGTGCTGAGCATGCGCATTTAACTAAATGTGTGTAGTAAACATACACTTTTATAAAGCATAAGTGTAAAATACAACACCAGTGGTATGCAGAGATGTGTGGATGCCCGAGACAAACTTTTTGATCAGATGCCCCTGAACTGAGTAAAATCACTGAAGCTATAAAAAAAAATCAACTTAATCATAAAAATCAAATTTAATTAAAAAAAAATCTATTTAGTTAAAAAACCCATTCAATTTGAAAAATCACAAAAAATAAATTTAATAAAAAAAGGGAATTAAAAAATGATTTGATTAAAAAATATTATTTTAATTAAAAATTCTATTAAATTAAAAAATCTGCTTGATTCCTGAAAATATAATTAAAAGATCTATTTGATTAAAATACCTAATTAAAAAATCTAATTAGAAAATCCATTTGTCAAAAAAAAAAAAAAAATCGGAAAAATATTTTTATAATAAAAATCTAAATCTATACTTTATATTCAGTTTTTATGTAAATATAGGCGAGGATAATTCTAGACAAAAAAAAAAAATTAAGTTTCTGCCTCCTTGGATCTATTCTCTGCATAGCCTCTATAATGCATATATACTGAGAGCAAATGTCCGCTGAAAAGACAAGGAGCAAAATGCTGTGAAAGGATGGTGAAATACTGCTCTACCGCATATCCACACCATTTTGATCATATATTTCCTTCAAAAAAAGTTCGTAGTTGAATCTAAGTAGACTCGTGAAATTTTGTGATATCGATCCAAGGCTTAATATAGTCGAAGCCAAAGTAATGCTTATTCTTTTCTTTTCTTTCCATTTATGTAACAAAAAGTTTTATTGTTTATTTTTTGATCATCTGAAGATACTTTATCTCGGATCTTTAAGATTTGGGCTAGAATAACCTCTGTCCTTCTGAAAACTTGAGTTTGATGTTATAACATATGAAGGTTTCGTTTTTACGCAATCTTTAATCAAAGCACGCTGGATCATTACTGCTTTATTATTAAAAACAACACATTTTTCATACGAGTAAAGAATTTTTCTTTTCGCAAGAAAATAGTTTCAACGGAAAAGAATAAATGCATTTTTTTTGTATAACTAAGGAAAAACTGAACCAAGCATGCTGTTCATGTAAAAAAAGAATTTTGTTAGAAAAAAATGCAAGGTTTAAGCACAAGAGTATCGAAAAAAAAGGGAATAAATAGGGAATAAATAGCCACTTTGCCACCAAAATAAAAAACGCAACTCAAAAGTCGTTTAATGAAGGTATAAGGGCAATTCACGTTTTCAGACTCGTTTAGCTAACACAGGATGCCCAAAAAGAATGAAATGGGATCAAAAATTTAAAAAGTGCGTGTGAAATATTTTCATTAATATCAAAAAAAAAAAAAAATCTGCCATTTGTGGGGGAGATAGCAAAATCTTAAATAGGAGCCTCCAGTTTTTGAGAGTGTTAGGAAATGGATGCTTCAGAGGAAGAAAAAAAAAACCACAATTCAAGTTACAGATTCTTTTGAATTTTGGTTAACAGATGAGATGGTGCTGTAATATCAATATGAAAATGGGATGAAAAACGTTTAAAATGGAAGTATCTCGAGAAATATGAATCACATCAAGTGAGTAAAAAATAGTCATGTTTGATAATGAAAAAAAATAACTCATGATCATGTGACAAACTTGACATTCAACCTTAAATTTGACCCAGCAGTCACCCCAATTAATCGATGCCTTTATTTCCCAGTAAGGAACAGGGTATGCATTATACGCGATTCTACGCTTGACAAACTACCATAGCATTAAATGAGGGTAAGTCAGAATGATGACTAAATTTAAATATACTTTAATTTAATTTAAAACCTAGTAATAAAAATTTTTGTTGTGTTACATAATTTTCGAAACTTTAAGGTTGCAGAGGTGAAAATTAATTTAAAAATTCATCATCGACGGTGATAAAAAAGGTTATTAACTGTTTCAAATTTATTTAATAAATTCCAGTTGCTGCATTAAAAGAAGTAAATCTAAAATTCGCTAACAATAAAAAAAATATTTATAATATGTTTCATAATAAGATGTCAAATTTTAAGTAATAATTCAGACAATAAATATGTTTTATTTTCCCATTCTTTCAGAAACTCTTTAAAGCGGAATTTTTATTAAACATATTTTTCATACTTTTAATTCATTATTTTGCATCAATTTTATTCAAAATAAGTGAAAAGTATTATAATTAGAATTTTAATAATTTATGGTTATGAAATAAAGCATGAGACACCAGTGTCTTCTTCTGCGTTAAAGGCAAAATCTTCGAAGCACGGTTCAATTACAAACGATACGTTTTCAAATTTGCAGTTATTTAGATCTAAGAGAAACATTTATTCATCTTTGAAATTTTATTTACAAAATTAATCGTCGATACATTTTTGAATATGAATGAAAAAAAGAAATTTCAAGCCACTTTTTATATTTTAGTACAAACATAATTCCGACAATCCAACAGAGTTTTTTATTAACTATACGACTTTTTTTCAAAATTTAAAAAATATCAAAATTATTTTTGCCTTTAATTAAAGCGTCAGAGAAAAATATATAAAAAAGGACACCAGTGTCACACCTGCGTCAAAAAAATTACCAAATTTTTCTACTGGAAGAATCATACGTTCTATTGGGCTATGTTTGACAATTAATGATGGTTCGAAATTTTATTATAATTCAAATTTAGGTATAGGATTGCAAAAATTGTAAAGCACGCAACACTGGTAGTATTCGATAAAAAAAGTTATCTATGCGTTAATTTTATTTAAACAAAGTGTATTGCATAAGTTGCGAATATGTAGTGTATATGACATAAATGAAATAGAATTCAGAATTAGATGCTTCTAATGTTATTGCCATTGTCCTCTTGATAAATATCTATGTTAGCGATGCAATAAATCACTTGAATTCTTATAACTTCTTGACTTTATAATAAGTTAGAAAAAACGTAATGGTTTAACGACATGATAAGGATAACAGCAATCCAATAGTTACGAAATATATCAAAATGATTTATGACATTTTTTAAAAAAGCACATCAATTTTGTGTTAGGACAATAATTAAATTAGTTTAATTTCTTCATTGCCTCAGCCCACGTATGTGCACTTTCGCTTCTTAGCTTGTAAAAACACGCTATAAGAAAATTTATAATTTACTCTCATTGAAACATTCGTCAACGTTTAAACTTTCTGGGGATTCCAAAAGATACAGAAAATGAAATTTATTTCAGTAGAATTCCACTTAAATAGAAGGGATTTTCGAAAAAGGACTAATCCTAGTGCTCGGAAACATAAGTAATTTTAAATATTATAAAATTTAATTATTCTGAAAACAATTTTTAAGGCAGTATTGCATAGTATATAATGCTTTGTATTTTTTAACACTGAATTTTTTTCTACATAATCAATAATATTATTCATTATTGTATTTGAATCGACTATAATATAACAATATACATTCCTATTTTAGGCGCAATTTAGCTTTCGAAATATTTATATTCGTTTACTTAATAAAACCGAAGTGACACGTACATGTGGTTAAAATTATCAGCTCAATGGCAATATAATTCATATTTTATTTATCTTATTATGACTGTAAAATAGAAATTTGAAACTGTGAAATAATTTTTTCAATTTTTTTTAGACTTCAGTAGTGAAGAAGATAATGAAAGAAATACTCACGATTTCTGTATTTATTTCCACAAGAATTATATCAATCTATATATCCACCGGAATTATAACAATTGTAAACATTGAACTTGAATTTCTTTTAAAACATGACTTATAAAGCTGTTGTGATAACAAATATGGCTAAAGTGATTATAGACATACAAATGCGACCCACCAATCTATATGAGAAATTATAAGAAAACAAACATTTCAACACATCAAGAAAAGCCATTACCATCTGTCTCACAGAAACTAGACTGACACTAGTTGAACCAACTTGGGTGATCTTTTTTAAAAAAAATTGAACACTTGCCAATTTATTTAGAGCGTGATCTCTGTGTCATTTCGGATAGACTTACACAGAATAAAATGCTTGTTGTGGCAACACTAAGCATGTTTACGTTTTGAATTATGAATTATTTATAAAACTTTTTCATACAGAGTTTCTATTGTAAGTGAATCTCGGGAATCATTGTATGGCAAATTTAAAATTGTAACTCGAAAGAAAATATTTTTTTCTAATACAATGCATTCTGCTATAACGAAATATTTAAATATGAAGTGAAAGACTGCGGCGGAGTATGTTTCGCATTTAACCTCGTAATTAATTTGACACTGAAAGGAAAGTTAAACTCCAACTAGCCGACCGCAGTATGGAGAAAAAACTCATTAACCCTTTGACGCAGAATGTTTATCAATAATATTTATTTTCTATTTTTTATTAATTTAAGTAAAAATGGGTGAAAAATATCATATTTAGCGTTTTAATAATTTATGGTCATGAAATATAGAAGGAAACATCAGTGTCTTTTTCTACGTTAAAGGTCAAAATCAATTATTGATAAATTTTTGAAAAAAATTCAAACCAATTTTTTTATATTTTAGTACAAATGTAGTTCTGATAATATAACAGATTTTTTAGTAACTATTAAACTGTTTTTTATGAATAAAAAATAGCAGAATATTTTTCTGATTGTAATTAGAGCGCCAGAAAAAATATATAAAAGACACACTGGTCTCCTATTTACGTCAAAGGGTTCAGTGCAAAATATATGCAATAAACTGAGGAACAATATTTAAAATGAAAATATTCTGAAATATTCTAACGTATTAATGCTCTGCCACAAAAAGGGGTATTAATAGGAAAAATACCCATATGAAAAATGTGGCACCACATACTTGTTTATTCAAAATGTATATGATATGATATTGTATGATTCTGTATGATATTTTCTTGCTGTTTCAAACTACTTTATGTAAAAAATTTTTATTTCTCCTTCGATCCAAATGTAAGTATTTACTTAGACCACATTTAAAAGTGTTAACAATTAACCAATTTTAAAAGTGTTTTAATCAAATAATATAATTATAAAATCTCATACCAAAAGAAAAAAGGATATTTGATGTCATTCCGTTGGCTGTTTATTTTTTAATATGCATACTGTTAGGATAGTTATAATTTGAATGCTCACAGACTCTTTATACATAATTGCAAGTATAAGGTGTTTATATTTAACAAATGCACACACGTGTATAAAGTTATGTAGGAGTGATGAGAGACTAAAGATTCCTGCCTAACACAAAAAGGGTTAAAGATTTGTGCCTCGAAAGCACTAGATTTTATATGTGCTTACAAATGAAAAGCATACAAATGCTTAAATCAAGTTTAAGGTATCACACTGGTTTTGACCGGTTTTTTTCTTTACAATAAAAGTCTCAACTAAAATTTTAATTTTATGTTTGGTAAGTAAGGGAGCTAAATTATAAATTTGAAATAAAGTTTAAAAATTTATAAAATATCTCTCAAAATAATGGCAACATTGAGTTTAAAAGCTGCAAATTTTTATTCATACGCAAACAGCTCTACAACAAATTGTAATGCATAAATTTTAAAATAATACATTGTTTAATACATTGAACTAAATATATTGTTCAATATTGAATTTTCAAGGAAAATTTCTGAATATTTTTCCTTAAAGCTTGATAAAAATAACAAATTCAAACTTAGACTTCAGCTTTCAGTTTAAAACATCGCCAAAATTTTACAAAATCTACATTCACAATCAAAGAATTCTATTTCAAAGAATTCTATTATAAACTCTTTTTGCAATGTGCGAGAGCATAAAGAAATTTTCTCAAAATCAACGTTCTTCAGAAAATGCATTTAAAATGCATAGAAATTCGGAAATATAAGAAAATTCTGACCTCAAAGAATTGCCAATTCGAAAATTAATTTCTGAATTTTTTTTTATTTGTCTTAAAAATGCAATTTATTTAAATAAATAAGAGTTCAAATACCTATAAAAAAAAGGAACATTTCATTTTCATTTTCTTGAGTTTACGTCCGGTTTCGGCTTTGTTTCTTAGTATACGAAAAAACAACAATAATTTCATTTCTAAAAATCGGAAATAAATTTTGTTAAGGGTTTTGCAAAGTTAATGAGTTAAAGTCTAGATATGGATCATAATAATAATAAAAATAAATCGAAATTTTCCTCGAAAATGCCTACTTTTACTCAGTCTGATATCGTAAGTATCTTTTATTAATTATTTTGTATTATATGGTAATTTCTACAAAATGTAAAACGATTTTTATTGGTTAAGCTAAGAATTTTTAATAATGTTTCGGGTACCCTTATTTTACTAGTAATCTACTCACTTTTCAATAGTTTTTGGGAGGAAGAAATTTTAAAAATGTATTTATCGCTTAAAAATGATATAATACCCTTACAAATTATGAAAAAATTATGTTTGAGTCTTAATTAGATTACAAGAGAATACTTAGTTTTTCCCGAATTAAATGTTAAGTTATATTGTGACTTTTCTTCATGATTCTCGACTTTGAAACGATGTATTTCAAAAACTGAACGATGGTATTTGGCATTTGAATACTTCGTGCTTTTTTTTAATTTTCAGGAAAATGAGAAAAAAAGTAAAAATTTCAATGTTTAATTCTTAAAATAATAGAAAAATATTTGCATTTAATCTTACTATTTTTAAAAAGAAATTTGAATTGAAAGAAAAAGAAGCTGAAAACAGTTTTTATTTATTCAAAATAAATTAAAAATCACGAAGATTAAAGCATATTTTTCCAATAATTAAAAATTAGAGCTATTTATTTTTTAAAGTTTAACTAAATCAAATATTGAATTCACATTCACGATTTCTCATTGATATGTGTCAGCTGATCTACAATCGAATGCCATCTAAATTTAAAAGACAAATTTCATCTTGTTTTTAAGTGACTATATCCTAAAGACGGAAAAAGAGGCCTTTATTATTTTTATTTAACAAAAAAAAATTTAAATGATTTGTTTTAAACAACTAAAAAAATTCTAGAAATTATCAGATGTGATATAAATAATAAGTGAAAGAACCCTCATAGTTCTAAAAAAGTGTGGAAATTGTACTACGGAAGCAGTTTCATATAAGCATCGAGTGCAAGATATTATCGAATTGAAATTAATTTGGACTTCACGTTATTTAAATAATAAATGTGAGCTGAATTGTAATGAAAGATATGAGCTGAGGATTACAACACAAATGATTACATCACAGAATCAATGAAAATCTCCAATTTTTTTAAAAGACCCTAAAAAGAGTTTTTTTGTGTAAAAAATTTAAAAAATATCATGGAGGATAAAGTTAATGAAAATGAGAAGATTTTTAGATGTTCTAAAAAAAGCAACAGAATTTGGACACAGAGAAAGGTTAAGGAAAAAAATAAAATGAAAATAATTGGAATTTTAAAACTACTAAATGTTTTTTTTGTTGAAAATTTTGACTAAATCAATTCATAATTTGATTTAAGAATACTATTGTAAAGCTTTTAAACAACCACTAAAATTTATTTGATTCAATAAAAAGAATTAGAAAAAATTATTTTTACCCCTACATCAAAGTTTTTACGCATAATAATAAAGTAGTTATATCTTCAGGCATGCTTTTTTGTTCTAATTTTGAAACCGCAATAGGATAGATTTATCGCTACAGTTAATTTATAAAAGTCTAAAACCTTCTTACTTACCCACTAAGAATACTATCGTTTTGTTCATGAAACTATCAACAACTAAACCGTAATGATAACAATTCAAGTTTAACGTAAACAGAATGAAAGTGCAAATATTTTCGCTTTTCAACGTACTTAACTTTTCAAAAATAAAAATGAGATAGTTTAAAAGAAGTAATTAATACTTGGGAACAAAGAACCGTTTCTCAGAACAAATGAATTGAATTACGGATTGTTACCATGAAAATGAATTATTCTTCTAAATATTTTTTATAAAAATAATTCATAGAAGGCGCAAGATAAGTTGTGTAAATAAATAAATTTGTGTTAATATAACATTATCTTTTTTATTCACTTTTAGATCTTTCCTAACTAATAATAACAACAAATAAGTCAGTATTTTAAGTCGAAATTAATTAAAATTGGCAAATTATGGTATGGTTAAAAGTAGTACAGAACGAAAATCTTATGAATTTTAGATTTATAATTGATAACTTAACTATAATGAAATATATTTGCATGACGTACCTTCGAATAGTATTACGAAATTAAAAAAATAGAGTTAATTTTCATAATACGTTTCTAACTGCTTATTTTTGTTGCTTTGAAAACACTTCATTTAAAGACAGGCATGAAAGTTTAAATTGGGGGTGGGGGTCTTCCCGTTCCACCAAACTTTCTGTAGCGTGGAAGAAGTGGTCAGAATCCCGCCGGTTTCTGCTTGATATATTTTTTCTAAATTTTACAATCTGTTCTTCAACGCGACAATACACGGTTCCCAGCAGATCATCGAAGTCAAGCATCACTGGCTGCTGTCAGTGTGCGGGTGGGTGACCACTTACATCAATCTGCGTAGGGTCAGAGGGTGTGCGGTGTTGGTCCTCGTTAAAGTGTTCTACCGTAAAGTGCTCGACTTTGCATGCAGGTCGTTGGGCTACCGAAGAGGGGGTGTCCTCACCTCTGCAGAGGATCAAAATTGTGATGGCATGTCTTCGGATCATCCTCAGGCATGTTTCTCAGACCGTCGCCAATGGCCCATTGTGCAGCTCTAGTGCGACGTAAATGAACTACAACAACAACAACATCAACGCGACAATTGCTTATGAGCAGTATTTTGCGGTTGTATTTTATTTTATTTTATAACTGTCGTTGAACAGCCGACCGAATTTTCAGTTTACAACTACCAATGTTCAACCCCGTACCCTTAAAAATTTTGAACCCAATCCAGAAGACAAAGGAATTCCTGGATCAAGTATTGGGAGAAATTCGCCTTCGTGGGGTACTTTTTGATGGAACTA